GTCCCCTTTGGCCTTTGGGATTAGGAAATACCAGGAGTAAAACCCCTTCCCTCTCAAGTCTTGTGAAACCTCCTCCACAACCCCCATTCATAGGAGGGATTGTACCTCCTAGACGAGGAGTTGCTCATGAGAAGGGTCCCTGAAGAGGGACAGGGATGGAGGGTGGGAGAGATGGGTGGATAAAAACTGAAGAGTATAACAGACATTGTACTCAGCACCCAGCGGTCCAATGTTATGTATGACCATGCTAGGCTGAAGAGGGATAGATGGTCCAAAAACAAAAAAGGGAAGAAGATCCGAAATGGTGACTGATACAGCGCCCTTGGGCACACCTTTAAAAGGCTTGGTTGAGCCCTCCGGAGTACCCCTGAAAATCCGAATGCAAGGCTGAAGGTGGATGGAAGTGGTTGGCACAGTTTATAACCTCTCTCTTTTCTTTTGTAGGGCTCTTGTCTTGGAGGCACTGAGAACTGACGCGGCTGTTGGGGCCTGAAGTGCTCTCTGGAAGCTGACAGAACGTAAATGTCTAAGGATCATAGGGTGGCCCTTGAGTCCTTCAGGCCATGAAGTCTCCTATCAGACAACTCCTAAAAAAGAGAAGCTTTTGAATGGGAGGTCTTGAATAGACTGTTGGACCTCGTGAGGAAGCCTGGAGGACTGGAGTCAAGAACAATGTCTCATGGTGACAGCAGAGGCCATTGTCCTGGCTGCCGAGTCGGCAGCATCCAGAGCCACCTGGAGAGAGGTCCTGGCCATGTTCCTACCTTCCTCCATGAGAGCAGTGAACTCCTGCCTTGAATCTTGGGGCAGGGATTCCTTAAACTTAGCCAAGGAGTCCCATAGATTATAACTGTATCTCCCCAGCAAAGCTTGCTGGTTGGAGATATGTAGTTGAAGGTTACGCGTCAATTAAATCTTTCTTCCGAAAAGGTTCAGTCTTTTAGCGTCTTTTTGTTTGGGGTTGCACTTGACTGGCCTTGTCTGTCCCTCTCATTTGCTGCAGACACCACCAGGGACCAGGGGTGAGGGGGATGCAAATACAAGTATCTGAACCCACTCGCTGGCACATAATACTTTTTCTCTGTCCTCTGAGGTGGGGGGCAGAGAAGGAGTTTGCCACAGGGCCTTGACCAGTCCCATCACCACTTCATTGATGGGTAAGGCCACCTTGAAGGGAGCTGCTGCAGCCAGGATACCAATAAGGCTGTGTGATATCTCTTTGACCTGCTCAATTTCAAGACCCAGGTTCGCAGCTACCCACTTCAGAAGGTCCTGATGGGTCCTGAAATCATCCTGCGGAAGCAGGCTACAGGATCCCACGACAACCTCGTCTGGGGAGAAGGAGGCTTACACCGGAGAAGGGGCTCCTTCCTCTTCTTCAACTACATCTGGAGCCATCTCCTGAATGTCGGTACCGGAGTTGAGGTCTAGTGCCAAGTGGGAAGGAGAAGTAGCCAGTCTCTCAGAAACCACTGAGTAAGAGCAATGGGAGGGAGGATCTGGTACCAAGGGAAAGCCCCAGCAGTTCCAGTAAGGCCACTGCATAGGCCAGTGACCCGCGGGCCAGGTGCCGGCACCGAAGTCCAGTGGCACATAGGCAAGGTACCGGTGGCGGGCTTTCGGTTGCATGTAAGGCTCCCCTTTAGACTCAGGAGTCTTCTCTTGGAGACCCTGGTGGAGCAGTACTTGCTTCTGCCTCGATGCGGTGCCGGAATTCTTGGGACCGGCAGCGGACCGGAGGTGATCAGGATGACGGGATTAGGGACAGCTTACCCCTAGAAGGTGCAGGGAGGGAACGGTGTTGGGAAGGAGCCTGAGTTTGAGAAAGTAGTCCCCTAGCCACTTGGAACGCCTCCTGGGTCAATGGAACAGTCAGACCACTGATACTATGGTGGCTTCCAGGTGTCAGGTCCTGCACTGGACTCAACGCTCTAGGCAGAGTTGACAGTGCCATCACAGGCCCAGGAGCGGAAGAGTGGCCCAGCACAGATGTCACTGTGCTCCCTTCTCCCTGCTTGTATTTTTTCTGCACCGGCGATTGCACTCTGTTAGAGAGCTGCTTTTAGTCCTTCTTCCTCAGAATTGGAGATGGTGAACGGTGCCGGGAAGAGCTCGGGGGAGGGTTTTGCACCAACGCCGAAGTGCATGGCCCGAATCGGAGCGGCTCTGCTCTGAGGTTGGTCTGAAAGTGACTTCCATGAGGATAGCCTTCAACCTAATGTCTCTGTCTTTTTTTAGTGCGGGGTCTGAAGTTCCGACAAATCTGGCAATTGTCCTTCACATGAGTCTCCCCCAAGCACTTCAAGCAGCTGGAGTTCAGGTCACTCACAGACATAGGTTTGCCACAGGAGGCACAAGGCTTGAAGCCCAGGGACCAGGGCATGCCCAACCCCTGGGACAAAAGAGGCCCTCGACAACAGAAGATATTTATTTACGCTATGTACACGAACACTAATTACAAAAACTATATATACGCAGTGAACTATGATCCAAAAACCACAGGGAAGAAAGCCTTGCTGGAGCAAGAGGGGTCATTCCAGCAACCGTCACAAGTGGTAAGGGACTGAGAGGGCGCGTGGCAGCGGTGCCCCTTATACTGGCATATAAGCGCACAGCTCCAGAGGGCGCTAGAGCCAGCCCGAAGGATACCACCGAGGGAAAGATCTCTGGCAATGGTGCACGCAGTGTGTACACACCTAACATGGAAAGCACACGAGCAAGCATTCGAAGAAGAATACCGCTGAACTGTGCTGCTAATACAATCGCTCTCTGCTGCTTGAGTGTTGTTTTGCAGTGACTGCTCTCACTCAAACTAGGCTAACTGGATATCGAACTAACAGATCAGCAAAGACAAGCCTGCGCAGAGTGGTGAGTCAGTGTAACTATTATTTTAAAATATACATTGTGACACTAAATAAAATTATCACTTTAAGGATTTTTGTTATAATATTGTTATCAAGCTTGTTTATACTCATGCTCCTACTTCTCTGGAGCCTGAAAACACCCCTTTGATATCAGAAGTTGGATTCCCCTATGCTGAACAGTGACAGAGCCCCCATAGAATCCTACATTCCAGTGACAAAGTGAAGACTTATTGTAAACAAGTCCAATTGCCTGGGTCTCAGTAATTCCCAAGACAAATTAGAAAGTGTGCTATATTAATATTTGGCTATATTAAAAACTGAAAGTGGTAAGCTAGGAAATTAAACAAAGGTTTTAGTTTCTTTACCAGGGAAAGGAGGTGGTGGTCCTCCTGGTCCTGCAGGTCCAGGGAATCTGTCCCCACCTGGAATGCCACCTGGAAAACGGCCTCGTCCTCTGTTATTTGGTGGAAACGCTGCACGTGAGCCACCTCCTGGAGGACCAGCTTTACCTTCTCCAGACATCTGGCCTGATTGTGTAGCTGCAATAGGGAAGCAAAAGTATATTATCATTCCGTAACATGAAGGGTTCCCCCCTTCCCAATTCGTGACCAAACGAGTTCATTTTTTGTTTTGTTTTTTTTTGGGGTGAGGAGGTAGCATTGCTGTGTGCTCTTCAATAGTTACGGCAGCAATGCTGAGTACTAACCCTTCATATTTATATATAATTTTTCATGCACAGTTCTCAAAGTGCTTTATAAAGCCTCCTTCTCCCTATTTTAAGTGACTAGTCCAAATTCTTTGAGCAAATCAGTGGAAGAGTTGGCAACTGAATTTCAATCTCTTAACCACCTGTCCCATGCTCAGGCCACTAAACCAAAGATTCCTAAATCTGGTCTGCAGACAACTAGGGGTCCACAGATAGAAAAGTGGATGATCACATGGTGCTATTCTTATGTCTAGCTGCTTCTACAACAGATATCTAGGCTCGTCACGAAACAGATAAAAAGGGAAGGGGAAAAAAGAGCCTAGAAGCCTACAAAAGGACCTGGAAATATGGAGGCGCCTGCATAACTAACTCTTTTAGGGACTCTGCTGCTACATAATAAAGGAGAAGAGAAAACAAGCCATTCTCTGGGCCAGAGCCACAAGCGGATTTGAGCTGTCAGCCACCAGGGAGAGGCAAGTTCAGACCAGAAGACCAGGGAGTGAATCATAGCTGTTTTTATTCTGCTTCTATGCTTGGTTCCTTTTTCCCTTTCTTCCTGCATGTGGAGAAGGGAACCAAGCATAGAATCTGAATAAAAAGTATGATACAAAAAAGTGAATTAATATGTTTACTCACATCAGAAGTTCATTGATGATTTTTTAAAATTTCTTTATTATATGTAAAACTGTGTTTCCCATTGTGCAGTTTTTATTTCTTGATAATTTCCTTCCTTTCAAAAGGAGTGAAGTGGATTTAATGGCTCAAATCATGGCCCCTGCTCTGATTGTATTATATTGGTCCACCAGAACAAAGCCCCAGCAAAGCTCACTTAGTCAAGAATTCCCCTGGTGTGATCAGACTGGCATACCCAGCCACACATCAAACCTTCTTGTTTCCCATTTTCCATCATAGGGAATTCAGCTGAGGAAAGGGGTTTGGCTAGAACAAACAAGTATTTCATGCTATGGAAGAGCACCTTGGGCCCACTGGATTCAGAAGCCAGTTATACTAGCCCTCAGGCAGCTCAAAGCTATGCCATGGCCCAACTGCTGTGCGAAGGACAAAGCAGTGACATCCATCTCATTCCAGGTCCTGCAACAAGCAGAGCTCAGTCAGATATCAGAATCTAGTCCAATTTGTCTGCAAATGTCCAAGTTGTTAATGTATTCATATTGTTCAATCTGGTTGTTTGAATGCTTTCACACACATAGTATTTTTCAAAGAATTATAGGGAAAAGATCCATAAAGGTATTAGCCCCAGACACCTTTTGACAAGTTTCCCTAACAGTAAACATTTCATAACTATTTGGAGCCATACATGTTATCATGGGATGAGTGCACACTGCAATACCTTTTCTGAAATGGACCTTTGTTTTTTAAAGTTACAACGCAACTAAGAAGAGAAGACTTACTTTTCCTTGACTGCATTTCAAACTGACTCAGGAACTGCTTATTGCATGGAGTTACAACAGGATTTTGCCCATGCAATTCTCTTTTAGGCAAGAGATCCATCAACTTTTTGGAGGATGCTTCAGATCCCACACCTACAAGGGCAAACCTAAAAAGAAGGAGGGAAAGCTGCATCAATTTCTTGCACCAGAAAAATCTGATGGCCTTCCAGAGAAAGGATAAATACATGGCAAGCAAAAGAACATTTGACAAAAATCCTCCCCACAAACTTGGTTAATTGAGTTTTAAAGATACTTGAAAAATCATAACGCAAACTCTCAAGATATGAGAAAAGAACGCTAAATGTAAATATGAACTTAAGAATTACAATTTTCCCACCATTCAATTTGAAATGCCCATAAAAAGGATGGAGATGGGAAAGTAACTTTTCTTCTGCTCAACCATACAGTATGCACCTGTTTAGCTGGCATGTCCACAAAATTTAGACCCTTTACTTCAATTTCCAATTTTTGAATACATTTCTAGTGACTAAAAAGCCTCATTAAGGAAAGAATCACTGCAGAGATAAACTCAACAAATGGATTAAGGAAAGCAGTCTCTCTCATAGAGACTTTCAAAGCAGCTCAAAGGTAAAGAATGAATATTTCCTCCTCTACAAATTAGGATTTCTTAAGGAAACTTATTTTAGGTTTTAGATAACTAAACTAGACTATAACAAGATAAATCAAATTTAGTCAAGCTTAAAAGGATAAAAAAAATCAATATTTTACCAAAGGACATGATCTTCCACCATTGAGCTGTATTTGATAAAACTGGCATTAGGCAACTGATTCTTCTTTTCATTATAAATTAATCAAAGCTGCACTCTGAATGTTAGTTTAGTTTCACACACACCCACACCCACAAGGGGGGTGGCGGTTAACTTGGCATTCATGAAGACCTTAAATCAAATATAGTTTAAATCACAATTGAAATAGTCAGTTTGTCCACATCACAAAACTCACACAATTGACAATTTATAGTAAACAAAAAACCATTTACTGGATTCTGAGATGTGTTGTTAGTAGGGACTGAGAGGCACTGGCAGAGCTGGGCAAAATGAAAATGGAGAAATAAAAGGCTAACAAATCAAGTTTAAAAAAGATTTGTCCAAAGATAGAATAAGAAGGCTTTCGCACTGATGAGAGGTTAAAAAAATTAAGAGTACACAGTCTGAAATTTAGGAAAATCAATGTATAAGGAATGCCAATATCACAATCCTAGTCAGGGAGTAGTGAAACCTATAGTATTGTCTTTAGAACTTATATCTGTGATTGAATTAGTCGTCAATGTGGAACAATAGGGTACAAAACCCTTGCTAGATATTAGCTGTCCAACAAAAGTAAACATCTCATTGCTAGCTGCGGAAAACACAGACCACTCACCCTCACTGTAGCAGATCAATGACCAATAGCAGAAAACGTGGATAACAAATTCTTACCCCTTTGACTGGCCATTAGCACGGTTTTCAAAAAATTTTATCTCCAAAATATCATTTACTCCCAGTGAATGCACTGCTTCAGTTAAGTCTTCATCTGTTGTCCACTGCAAAATATTTTTATATTCAAATGTCAAAACACATTAAGATGCCAATTTTCACTATGAATACAGCAGTCTAATCCTGTATGTTTGTACTATTGCTTTTTACTTTATTGTGAAAATGATCAAGTAGTAGGGCGTCTCACTGGATGTTTTCTGTGGCTGTTTGTAGAAAAGGCCAGAAAATATTTAAAGTGACACTTTACAGTTACTTCTTAAAGAAAGCTAGGTTAGAAGAAGTTTTGTTTTTGTGAAAACCAAAAACATAACTTTCATGGCTGCAAGGCTTAATCTGACCAATTTCAATAGTCACTTTTTTTGTTTGTTTGTTTGTTTTATACCTCAACGATTGCAAATTTTTCATCTTTAAAACAGATTATTACTCAGTTTCTATTAGCCCAAAATCCTACATCTCTGAACAAGGTCAGATTTCAAGACCATTTCAATAGTGTGCTTCACTTTCACATGTGTTAGTGCACTTGTACCCTTTATACATGGTGCTCTATACCAGTGCCAAAACTGGCCCAAGTGAAATTTAATTTACTAAAATCCCGAACCATGAACTGCTCTTTTTTTTAAGGTTTAGACAGCAAGATTCTAAGAAGTTTTGTTCTACTTACTGATGGCAGAGAAAAAAAAAACAGAAAAAGATTAAGAAAAGCAGAATTTATGAGCCACTTCAGTGGCCCATGGATATGTGACATCCATCAACATCTAACTGACTCTGCTATAAGCAAACGTCTAAGTCAAACATTATCCATTTCTGAAGTTAAACATGTTCACCCTGATCATAAGTGTGCACTGGTACTGAAGGAGTTGGAGTAAGAAGAAAACCTTTAACTCCAGAACCCCCCATAAATCTCAGGAGAGAGAAGGAACTGGGTGTTCAAGTTTTCAAACTCCTTATATACCATCCTCCCCCCCAGCTCTAGTATAGAACCCTCAACACCCTTCCGGCTCACAGCAAGCAAACTACATTGCTGAATTTCATGCCACTTAAAAAAAAATCAAAGAAAAACTTGACAATCCTTAAGAAGGTAAACATATTACTTACCTGGAAAGAGCCTGAAATCAGGATACTGCAACACTTAACGACATCAAACACTTAAAACAAAGTATGACGCATTTTCCTGCATGCCTGGCACTAGTATAGGTTTTAGCAGAGGAAGCAACCATGAACTCAGAATTTTGCATGGAAGGGGTGAGAAATTGCTTTTCAGATTAACTGTCATAGTAAAGGCTAATTAGTTCAGATACTGATTTAGCATCTTACACATTTTTATTTTTAAAAAGTATACTGAAGGTTAACAATTAGTGCCAACAACAAAACTTATTTCCCTGGGGAAATACAAGTTTGGTTCTCAGTTCTGTAGTACCTGAAAATACTGCAGACACTACTCTTAAGACAGATGCTTGGAACAGTTTTGCCTGGAAAGTCACTGCAAGGCAGAGTCTTTGAGGATGAATTCTCAAAGAAACCTCAAAGAGCATTACAGTTCTCTTTTAAAAGTAAAAGCTTCAACAAGGGATTATTCAAAATAAATAAGTCTATAGTCATAAGGCACTAGATAGTATTAATTTATTCTGTTTCTTCTCTTCAGAATTTCCCCAAAGCCCTAATAGCGTGGCAAACCTACCATGCTTTCTCAGAAAGCTTCCCCTTTCACCTTTAACTTATTCTACAAGTAAGACACAACTGAACCTTTATATTGTAAATATCCTCCATTTTAATGAACATTCCAAAACTGTATTCTTCCCCCAAGATTTTCACTAAAATGTTCGGAAAACCTGCTTCTCTGTTCTAAGATATCAATAAATTATTTTTCTTGTATTATGTGCCAAAAAGTTAAATATTTTAGTTAAATTCTGTCAACTACAAGGAGTACATTTGATCAGTGTAAGATTACTGCCCATAATAAAAAAGCATGTGTGTAGCTGAATTCCAACACTTACCCAAGTAAGATTTCCAATGTACAATGCAATTCTCTTTCCAGTATATGTATAGACAACATTTGGTGCTGCTCCTTTACCTACGTCATCTCCAACTGATGGTGGGAGAGAGTCCATATAATCACGGTCCTCTGGGGCATCGCCATTATTTGCAGATGGAGAGATGACATCATCATACAAATCTATTTGATCATGTCCACCATATTCAGCTTCCTAAAATACAAAAAAAATATGCTGTGGATTACATATTATCTAAAATACTCTTAATATTTATTCAAAACAAATACTGCTCTAAATGTCCCAGAGAATTATCACATGAGGTAAGACGGACACATTTGGGCTTGAAGTGCAACAGTATATCCCTCCTTTGTGAAACAGTTTACATCTCAATTTGATCTACATTCAAATGTATATAAATCTGATGTTACTGCCTTCTGGTTTCTACTTTTAAAAAAATTCCACCAAACTGACAGAAAATTAACAAAAAGCCTATAGTTACTGCTTAATCCTACAATGATTTTGTTCTACTGATAGAGACAAACAAGAGAACACAAATCCTATTCTCAGAATGTTGCTGACATTAATGATGCTGGTAAGCAAAATAGCAGCATGTTAACTTCAGCTCTTATGCAAAAACAAAGTAAATATTTTCCTATATTAAAAGAAATTGATAGGGAAAGTGGTTTGAGATTTTATGAGAGTCCTGGCAATGAACGCAACATACAGCCAAACTTTTCAGAGATTGGATCCCAAACTTGATCCCTGATTCTCCAATAAAGGGTCAAGAAGGGAGCATTTCATACTCTAGTGATCCCACTTAATATAAAGGGGAAACATTGACTGTTTCAAAGAAAGCTATATCCCACTTTCTGGTATCACCGTGTCATCACAATATGAGTTGGAATGGGAAATGACTAAGATAGGAGCAAAAATAAATCAATTTTTAATTGAGTTATCAATCCACGTTCTTTTTAAAATTTAGACATTTTAACATTAAAATGGGCAACATACTCTTCTTTGCAATTAGGGGGCATCATATAAAAAAAATTCCTGGCTATGGCTCCAGTAATAAATGTATTAAAGGTTTAATCCAGAGTATCTTCTCTAAATTGAACACTCCTCTTGATGCAGCCATTTACATTTTTTAATCTCCACTTACAGTCGTATAAATGGACAACTTGGCAAATGAAGTTAGCATCTGTCTTACTGGTCCCTCACCCACAAAATCAGAGTGACAACGCACTGGCATTACCTGTATTACAATTATTATTTTACAGGGACTAGACCATTGCCTTAGGGTCCTGCCATAACAAACTCTCCTCAGACCCTCGCATAACAGGTTCATTCCCCTTAAATCACTCCCCATGATGCTTTCCCCCACTTCAGGATTCCAGACCACAGGGCAGGAAAAGCTGGTTACATACTCTTTATAAGAGGAGAGTGTTTCCCGATGCTCTGTAAAGGAGTCAGTTGCACAACTACTAAAAATACCAAGTTATAACACCCATATTCTCCCTTGTGAAATGAACCTCCAAAATTCTCTTGGCAAAACAAATCTCCATCTACCAAAGTTCTGTATTTTACAGCAAGCTCTCCCCCACATAAACCCCTTTCTACTATATAAAATTCTGTTGTATCTTAACTTTTGTTTTTAAATATCTACTTCACCCACACATTAATTGAGTCAGTAAATATATGAAGGCCACACACACCACCACAGTATTTAACAGTCTTACAAATTCTGTAAGTCAAAGAGTCTCTGTTTCTTTCCCTCCTGATTGCTATTTTAAATGCAGGAAAGCTAAATCAAAGTGGTGAATTTTGCACTTTGTTCTGAAAATTAGGTTCAAGATCATTTTAATTTCCTGCAGAAACAAGTTTCACACTTCTAGGCCAGCAGCTTTCAGTTCTGTCACCTGCATTTATAAGTCTTCACATGTTTTAGTAGTTCCACAGTTCCTGAGGAATGCAGCTGACATGGGAGTTTAGAATTACTGAGAAGAAGCTTTTAAACCAGCTCATGCCAATGTCATGAGGGGCTTTGAGGATCAGTACTGAAACCCCAAGTTTGACTCGGTTCAGTGAGTAGCCAGTGAAATGAGCAGAACATTGCGGTGATACGCTGTCAGCAACCCATGTTATTAAGAAGTTAAGCTGTTTCACTTTGAACTAATTGGACAATGTGGTACAATCGGAGAGTCAAGAGTTTAAGGCCAGAAGAGACTTCCTGTACATAACATGCCACCTACACTACCCAGCACCTGCACACTAAATACAACTGAAATTAGACCAAAATATTATAGCCCACTGGAAACTAGACTATTATGTGCCACAGGCAGAGAATAGGAGGTACCAACATGCATCAGTGTTCCACAATCAGGTACAATATGTTGCAACAATAAATGCAGATGGTCATTAATGCATGGATCATTGTGGCCTACTCCAAAACTGACACCCTGGGGTGCAGTCTCCTGGCCAGCTTTAGGCAGAAGAGCTCTTTTCCAGCAGCCATATTTATTTGGGCATCCAGTAACAATGAAGATTCCAGCTGGCCCCACCCCATGGAGGGTGTTAATGTGGTTCTGAGTTCTATGAAGCATTATCTTCTCTCCAGCATTACTTTGTATTGCCCGCATTTAGTATCAGTCATCTACTCTTCGCTGACACTAACAGTATGTCCACACAGCAAAAGCTGTGCACTGACTAACCTACCTGAGCTAGTGCTGTGTACGGGCTAGCCTACCCTAGCTAGCTTAAATCCAACTAGAGTGGGTAACAACAGTGATGAAGACAGGGCAACATGAGCTTCTGAATGGGCTAGCAAGCCAAGTACATACCCAGGATCCATCCCAGGCTTGTACTACATGTACTGAAGCCCAGAGTGCACTACCATCACTGCTATATTACCTGTGCTAGCTAGATTCAAGCTAGCTCTAGTAGGCTGGTCTTTGCACAGCTTTTGCTGTGCAGATATAGCCTAAAACAGCTAAGGGAAGGCACTGTTTGTATCTGACATAATGGAGATGTACAGTTGGGTGTTGTCCATGTATTACTGGCATATGAATCTGTGTTGTCTCAAGATCTTCCCCAGAAAAAAAGGTTACTTACCTGTATTGTAACTGATGTTCTTTGAGATGTGGTTGCACATATGTATTCCACATTGGAGAGTGCACCCAGTCAGAGCCCGAGTGTTTTCTGTAGCTGTACCTGTCAAGGTGGCGCACACACTCTGCACATCCTCATGGCCCATCTCAAGGCTATATAAGGGCAATGCTGCTCCGATCCCTGAGAGTTCCTTTGCACCAGAATATGGTGACTCGGGACTCTGGTGCAAAGGGGTTACAATATAGGTAAGTAACCATTTTTTCTTCTTTGAGTAGGGTGACCAGATGTCCCGTTTTTAAAGGGACAGTCCCGTTTTTGGGGGCTTTTTCTTATATAGGCGCCTATTACCCCTCACTCCCTGTCCCGTTTTTTCAGTTGCTATTTGGTAACGCTATCACGTGTGTTGCACTCAGATGACACACAACAGTACCATTAGGAGATGGGGCGCAGAGACTATTTAAATAGGAACTGCAATACTGTTTTCCCAAAATTTGTTTTAGATCTTGAAGCAGGCGTGATGGCATAAGGAGTGAAGGTATGCACAAAGGACAAAGTAGCAGCCCTACAAATGGGGACATCCCATAGAAAAGCTAATGAAGTTGCTTGAATTGAATGGGCTGACTGTCTTTGTGGAGGAGAGGTGTGAGCTATAGAACTGAGAAGGGCCCAGATGAATTCTATGTTCTATGTCAGGATTAATCTGGATTTTCCCTTTTTTCAGGCTGAGTCCCACACAATCAAAGAGACAAAATGATAAACAATGTGGTGGAGAACCTGATGCTCAGATCTCTCTCACACTAACAGTTGGCTAAGTAAGGGAAGACGTGCATTCCTGTTCTCCTCAAGTAGGCCGCCACCACTACAACGCACTTGGTGAACACATGTGGCACTGACATCATGGGCCAAAGGGAAGTACTGTGTGTTGATAGTGTTGGCCTCCTACTACAAATCTCAGAAACTTCCCATTACTTGGCACTACCGTGGCATGGAAGATCAAGGAAAGCAAACCAGTAACTGTGATCTAGGATTGATGCCAGGAAAACCATGTGAAGTCTAATGTACATGATGACTTTTTTGAGATTTCAAAAGTCCAATATGGGTCTCAACCTCCGCTCCCCTTCAACTTGAGGATCAGAAAGTATCATGAGTAAAACTTCCCCAGTGTTGATGGGGAACTTCTTGTATGGCCCTTAAAGTTAACAGAGTCTGAACTTTTTGAAGAAGCACTAACTCGTGAGATGGGTCCCTGAAAAGGTTAGGTGGATGGAGAGGAAATGGATAGAATATCCCAATTTCGTAGTGCTTATGATCCAGTTGGCCATCATTATGGCTTCCCAAGCATTGAGAAAATGGGACAATCTTTCCCTAAATGAGGGGGTGAGAAGATAGTAGGAAGAACACCAACAACTGCATCGCTGTCTTCAAAGGACAAGTTAAATGGGCTGTTTCCACACAGCTGACTGAGGACAAGCTGGCTGACTCCAAGTGAAGTTGAAGGACCTCTGTCTCTGACGTTTGTGCTTCCTTCTCAAAAAATCATGTTACCTTGGTGGAGATCAAGACTGCATATAAAAACTGACATGGATATTACTGTTGCCGGGGTATATACTGACATAAAGGGTAGCACAAGAGGCTTTAAATGAAAGTAGTTTCATTAGTCTTGCCTGATAACAAGAACTGACTATCAAACAGAAGGTCCTCTATGGTTTGTTGGATGTCCAAGGCTACATAACCATGGGGGTCTCATTGTTATTGCAGAAGCCATCACCCTAGAAGAAGGGCCCATGACGTCAGGAGCAGGCTGGGTGAGGTCTTGTCCTCCTTTGCATCCTTTGGTAGTTTGTCAGTAAACCTGAACATTAACTCCCATTTACAAAGTCATATTCAACTAACAGTGCCTGTTAGTTTGCTATACACATCTGAAGAGAAGAGGTATAGTACATTTCTCTCTCAAACAACTTAAATCTCTTCTGCTCTTTTTCTTTGGGAGTTGATTTAAATCTCCCAACGTGCTCTCTCATTGGCAGCCATAAATATAAGAGAGTTTAGGGCTGGATAGGAATAAAAGCACTTGAACCAATGTATTGGGATAAGATATTTATTTGTAC